GCGGGGCGGACGCGGTGCCGAGCCGACGCTGTTCTCTCTGTTCCAGCACTCGGGGATAAATAGCTCCAATGCCGAGGTGCTGGCTCTGTTCAATGTGACGGAGGCGGATGCGGGGGAGTATGTGTGTAAGGTCTCCAATTACATAGGGCAGGCCAACCAGTCCGCCTGGCTCACGGTCCTGCCCGAGCAGCAAGGTAACGACGTTTCTGGTTTTTCCTTCTTTTTTTGTGTTTTAAGAAGGCGGATGTAGACGCTGAGAGGACTTGGTGCTTTGGGAGCCGCAGGCAGCTTCTAGGATCCTCTGTGGCCTCGGGATGTTCATAACCATCTTTCTCGGGTGACGCGGCTGGCGGGTGCCGGCAGCCATGGAACGCGCCCACGGTGCTCACAGCGCCTGCTCTGGTTCCCTCCGAAGGCCCCCCCTCCCCGGTTTTTAAATCGTTCCTTCCTTCTGGGGCATCGTGTTTGGGCTGCACAGACCCCGTCGTCGCGGCACGTAAACGCCGTTTGAAACGCATACCTGGGTGCCCGTTGATGGCGCGGCATCACGGATCCACTGACGTCACACATCCTCCGGCCCCTGATTTTTAGAGAAATATGGGCTCGGTGTCGTCGGTCCGACGGGCATCGTTTCCTGGTTGCATAACTGATCTTGTGAGATGCTGCCTCTGACCTCGGTGCCCTGGACCTTGTTGTCCTGACCTCGGTGCCCTGGACCTTGCTGTCCCCGACCGGGGGCAGCCCCCTTAGTGAATGTCCTGGGGAGCTCGTGAAGGCAGCAGGTGGCTCCTGCCGTCCGCCGTGACTCACATTCAAACGCTTAGTTTAAAAAAGGAGCAAACAGCCCAGTTCTTTTGCTGCCAAGATGGGGCTTTTCCTTCCATTTCGTTTCCATGCCGTGGAGGTCAGGACGGTTGACTCGCGTCCCAGTGGCCGAGCCTGGCAGCCAGGTGACCTCCCTGCTGGTCCCCAGGGGCCGGAAGGACGTGCCTGTGGAGTTCCGCTCTGCACCCCAGCCATCGAGGCCGGCCCACCCTCTCCTCGAGGCGGGAGTCTGCAGCCCACAGAAGGAAGCCCCAGGTGGACGCGGGGTGCACACATGTGGGGACCCCTCCCCGCCTCCTAAGCGGAGCCGAGCCAGGAGTGCGCCCGTGGGCTGCTGTGTCCGTGTGTCTGCAGGCACCTCCGGGGGTGACGCTGGTGTGGTGACGGGCCTGTGCGGTGGCCGCTCCTGTCGCTGTCTCTGGTCGTGGGCTCTGTGGACGGGCTGCAACCGGATCCCGCGTGGCCGGCCCCCCCGGGCCCCGCGCCGCCTCCGGACCCAGGCCCCTCCACCTCGGTCCTGTGTCGTCTACCTTCTCTCTCGCTCCCTGTCTTCTAGGCCGCCGGGGTTAACACCACGGACAAGGAGATTGAGGTGCTCTATATTCGGAATGTAACTTTTGAGGATGCGGGGGAGTACACGTGCTTGGCGGGTAACTCTATCGGCATCTCCTTTCACTCTGCATGGTTGACAGTCCTGCCAGGTACATACCGCCTGCTCCCGCCTCGACTGGGTGTCCTGGGCGTGGGCCCCCTTCCTGGTTGGGTGCTATGGAGTCAACACGCTTCTGTCCTCAGAAACGGCCCCTCACGTCTTTGCAGAAAGACTTGGAGAATGTCCACGACCCCCCTGCCCCCGCCCCAGGATAGAAGCCGTGGCCTGGGAAAGTCACGTCCAGTGAGGCCCCACGCGCGTGCACGGTCACGTGACGCGTCTCCCGCCCCCCAGGGGACCTCACGCTCTCCGTGAGTCACGGAGTCGACGTGGAAAGTCGCCCCCCATCCCCGCGTCCCTTAAGGCGTGGAAGTCACTTGGTAGCACGCCAAGGAGTTTGCTTTTCGCATTTTAAACTCCATTTTGCTCTGTCCGTTGGCCCCACGTTCCCTTTTCAACGAGACGTAACCAGACGGCGGGTGTCGCGGCGCCCGGGCGAGGCGCCCGCGGGGGTGCACAGGAGGGGTGTGGTGCCCGCCTCGGGGCTCGGTGGCTCCCTGCATGTGACCCTGGGAGGGGCTTTCCCTCTGCCTTCCCCGCGGAGCATGCGCTTGCCTCTCGCTCGATGCTGCTTCTGCCCCGTCAGCTGCCCCCTCGCTGCCGTCTGACCCTGTGAGCATGGTGTCTGTCGGGTCAGACGAGCTGAGTCCCCGCCTGCTCCTGTCCTTTCCGTGGTGACTGTGCTGCTGGCCTGCGTCCCACGATGTTGCCAGGGCCTCCTCGTGGCCTACGGTGCCGCCTGCATGCTCGTGCCACGCCCGGCACAGGAGGGGGGTCGCTCCACGTGTGGCTGAGCGTGTGGCCTGTCTCGCGAGCGTTTTTCCGATGAGAACGTGTGAGCTTCCAGTCATTCCGTGGCACTCGTGTCCCTGGCACCAGGAGCCTGCTCTGAGCCTTTGCTACGAGCAGTGAGGCCTCAGGCGTCGAGCTTGCTTGTCC